CCTTCTCCAGCTCATCTCACTGATGAGGAAACTGAGGCAAACAGGGTTAGGTGACTTGCTCAGGATCACACAGCTAGTAAGTGTCTGAGGTTGGATTTGAACTCAAGAAGATGAGTGTTTCTGATTCTAGGTAGGCTACTCTACCCACAGTGGTACCTACCTGCCTCAGGCTGGCACACAGTAGGCACTTAATAAATGCTGACTGACTAACTGACATTATATCCCTGACTAATAATAATGTCAAATATCACACTTCCCAGATGCCATGTCAGTGATAAATCAATGCGACCCTAAGAAGGGGAAGAGTTCCCTAGTTTGGGAGTTTCTTGGATCCAATCTCCAGAAAGATATAGTTCCTCTCTGGTGCTTCCTTGCTCCTTCCCCAATGCAGTCACCCAAGCCTCAAGGTTCCTACTCCCAGAAAGGGGTCTATATACCCCAGGCAAACAGCTCAGGGTCCCCTCACTTGGCTGGTACTGAAATTTTCCTATAGGATGGTTTGGGTAATTCTTTCCCAAGAAAAGGCTCAGGGGAACTAAGAGTGATAGTCAGGGAGATGGCTTGCTTTCTAATAGCACAGGGGCATGTATGAAATTATTGGATCATAATTATAGTAGATGTGTATTTATCGAGAATAAAGGAGACTGTCTTACTGACTTAGTAATCCTGAATCTTGGATGAAAGAGAATGAGAGGCCTTATCCAAGTGCTGTGAGAGAAGGAAGTAGCCTCCAGTAGAGGCTTCTTAAGCAGCAGAAATTTGGTATTTCCCCATTGGGGCTCCCAGGGAAGATTCCTGGCTGTTGGGCTAATACTGAGGGATTGCTGGCACAGGGCTACTCTTATTATCAACACTGGCACCAAGACAGTATACATACAAAAGCATAATGACCACTAGGTATTTCATTACAGATGAGCTTAACTTGTGACGAAAAAAGTGACTGTGACAAGTATCATTATTTGTTCTGCATCTCTGATGTTCCTATCATTGTTCCTGTTCATTGTTACTCCTTTACATCAAGAGATCCAGTGTGGCCTACAAAGATTTGACAGCACTTACCACTGAGTTCTAGGATATGGTTCTTTAAGAGCAGGGAGGCAAAGCTTTTGGTTTTAATTTTCTTCCACATTTAGTCACTCATTTAGAATGTCATTGAGTTTTTTGTTTGTTGTTTTTCTTATATTCCTAATTTAGTTTTTTTTTTCCTCTTTTCCCTTTAGTATCTCATGAGAATCCCTGAGATTAGGGCTATGCAGTTATGGTCCTATTCCATTTAAATGATGAAAATTCCTCAAAAATTTCTTAAGGACTTTGCATCAAGAAATGGGACATGGCAGGACGATGTCCCCTAACCCTGCCATATGTTAGGCTAGTTCTTTTCCAAATAGTCAAGAAAGCTGTTCCCAAGACTTGACTGGGCCAGAGAGACCAGAGCTCAAGTTTCTAGCTGTTGACAGCTTTCTGATGGCTTGAGGCCATAGTGTCATGGCTTCCCTTTACCTAAGAGCACAAAAATGCTGGCTCACATAGAGTCAGGGGTTTTAGACTTGGTAGAGGTCTCAAAGCCAGCACGTCCACACCCTGCCCTGATGAGCAGACATATTTTGTTGTGCCAGGGATAAGGTGGCTATCCACAAGGGTTGAGTGTTATGTTCTTCCTGGCTAAGTAAACTTTGTTGTTTAGATTGCTGAATAATTGCCAGTGCCTTTATTTGTTCCAGTATTGGACCTAAACAACCAGGAGAACAGCCTGAGTTAGGCTCAGCACATTCCACTCCTTAATGAAACTCACAACCATTCAAAAGAAATTGGGCTAACAATGAACACAGAAAACCTCAAAAACAAAACCAAGAAAAAAAATCCCAGATGAGCTTACTGAGTTAATTTAACAGTACACATATCTTAAATGGAATGGTACTGACTATATATATGGACAATGGGTTGAGCAGAATTGAGTATGATAAAAAGAGTGGGATAAATTAATCTGGGAAACACCAATACTTTATGTCTACAAACCATGGCACACCATGCTCTCAGAATCACAGAATATCTGAATTAGAAAGAATCTAAAAATCACTTCATCACACCCATTATAAAGATAAATTATATCTACAATATCCTCAACAAATAATCATTCAGTCTCTTTGTTTAATGGAATGGGAGAGGTAAGAATATGGCAAGCAAGGGAGTCCCCTACTTCCCAAGGAAAACCATTTTGGATAGTTCTAATTGTTAGGAAGTTGTTCCTTATATCTAACCTATATATGCCTTTATACTATTCACCTATGAATGGATATGATTTCTTCCACTGGGGTCAAACAAGTCTAATGCTTCTTCCCCATATCAGGCCTTCACATACATGATGAAAGCTATCATGTTTCCCCAAATCCTCTCTTCCCTGGGGTGAATATCCCCAATTTTGTCACTATCCTCACCACCTACCTCTGAATACTCTCTAGTTCGTCAATGTCATTCCTGTAACATGGAACCCCAAATTCAACACAATACTCCACATGTAGTCTGACCAAGGTAGGGTATAGCAAGCAAAAGCATCACTTCCTTAGTTCTGGCCACTATGCCTTTCTTCATTAAGCCTGATACTGCTTTAGCTATGTTGTTTGCCATATCGCATTGTTTACTCTTAACAAGTTTGCAATTCACTAAATCATCCAGATTTTTTTCAGACAAAATAGCTATGCTTTCCCTTTAATTCCTTAAAGAATAAAAAAAAAATGCAGGAATATCCAAAAGTAAAGGAGAGATACATGTTGGACACAGGTAGCAAACATTTTATCAATAATGCCTTGTACACAAGAATTGGAATAAAATATAACATCCAAGAAATGCATGATCAGAGAGGTAGATTAGTCATGCGATAAGGGCAAAGGCTGTAAGATACACAGTTAAGAGCATTGTAAGTAACTACAGAATATGAAAAGAACAAAAGAAAAAGATCTCCATTGTGCTGGGGAGGAATTTTTGGAAGCCTATAAATGAAAATTTCACAGGATAATATGGCATGGATGTATTATAGTCTGCATCATTAAAGGAAGTACCCACATTGACGAAATCATGGCTCTACTTAAAACTGTAGAGTCTAGTCTTGAGCATAATGGGAGAGGCAGGGTTAGAAGCCCTAAAAATGTTTCAAGAAGAGAGGCTCCCACTCATACAACTGCTACATGGTTCATGATCTCATCACCTCTCCCCTGAACTGTTGCAATTGCCTTCTGGTTGGTCTCCCAGTCTCAGATCTTTCCACACTCCAATGAATCCTCTATTAAGCTAAGTTGATTTTCTATAATGTAGGTGTGACTATGTTAACTCCTCTGATCAAAGAGCCGCAGTGGCTCCCTATTACCCTCATGATCAAAATGTAAAATTTTGGTTGGCATTTAAAGCCCTTCACAATTTGGCACCTTTTTATTTTTCCAGTATTCTTACACTTTATTCCTCCCTCCTCCTTCACCATCTCCCATGACCATACAAACACACACACACACACACACACACACACACACACACACACACACACACACACACACACACACACATACACATATTGATCTGGCTAGACTGACCTATTTGCTGTTCCTCCCACATGACACTACAGATCTCATCTTGGCGCCTTTGCACTGGGTGACCCTATGGGAGGAAAGTTCTTTTTATTCCCCACAACTATCTTCAGATATTAATACTTTCTCCCTCTTGAAATTACTTTGAATTTAAAATTTACTTGTTTTTCTGCATGTTAAATCTCTCCTCTCCTGCTTCCTACCCTCCTTGCCCCCAGTAGAACATAAACTCCTCCAAAAACTGTTTCATTTTTGGCTTTGTATCCTTAATTCCTAGTATAGTGCCTGACACACAGTAGGTGTTTTATCAATGGCGAATTAAACTGAAATGAATTAATGTCTCCTAGGTTACGATTTGGAGGAAAAACTGGTGTAGAATGATTAGAATTTAAATTAGCAAGAATTCACAGATACTCAGATTGAACTCAATCCTCTGCTAGGTATAGAACAGCTATGTAATTCAACAAACAGTTAGTAAGCAAATGTGCTATGAGGTGGAAGCTCCTGGGTCTTCCTTGTGTGGTTCTAAACTATCTGAAAACAAATAATCACTTTTTATTCTGATATGTTTAAAAAAGGGGGAAAAAAATTAAATAAATAAATAAATAAGAGCAAAAATGAACATGAGTGATATGTTGAAGAAGACTCAATACCAAGTTACCTACTAATACTGGGACCTGGATTCAGGAAGATCTAAGTTCAAATCCAGCCTCAGCAACTTAAAAGATGTGTGACTCTGGGTAATTCACTTAACTTCTGTCTGCCTCAGCTTCTTCAACTGTAAAATGGGGATCTACCTCATATGGTTGTTGTTAGGATCAAATGAGATATTATTTTGAAAGCATTTACCACAATGTCTGGCACACAAATGTTTATCCCCATATTATTCCCTTACTTTTACATGTGTACACGCTCACACAGTAAAAACATATTATGAATCTAGCCTGCAAAGGCATAAAATAAAAACATTCTTTTCTAATCATTCAACACATATTACCCTAAATGGAAGTATTTTGAAAGGTTAAATAATGAAAAATGTTTATATCTAATATCATTGTGGCATAAAGGTATATTTTAAATAAGGAAGTATTTTCTTAGAAATGAGGTCATAGCAGTTACCAGTTAGGAAATAGCAATTATTCATATAAATTTGAATCAATTTCCTATAAATGTTTAAAAAAAGACTTTATTAGAGAAACTTGGTACAAAGATTTTTTTCCCCAGCTTCCCTTCTAATTTTGGTTATATTGGGTTTTTTTGCCTAAAAACTTTAAACATTTATTAGATAAAAACTGGAAAAATTTGGAAAGTTAATTTAAAAAATGAAGTCATGTAATGCTTAGAGACATCACTGAATTTACCTTCCTATTTATAGAGGATTGAGACTATAAAAACAAAAAGATTTCATGTCTGGTGATTTCATACCTTCAGTGGGAAAGCAGATTCCTTCTCCCATTTGGCAACTCTCCTGGATTCAAATGGACCAAATTGTGTTCGCTTGACCAACTGAGTTATTGCAAATACTCCTTCAGTTCCATCTCCTAATTGTTTGATCTCTAAGTTAGAAGGAAGAGATGACCTGAAAATGAAACAAAATAGAAACATGGCCCCCAAATGGCACTTAATTCGTTGAGATCACTGATTTGAAAATCAAAAGGTTTCTCTTAAAACCACAACTTCTGCTCAGGTTATTTTGTTGCCATTGTTGGTTCATGACTAATCACTTTCATACTCCTATTCTTGTAACCATTAGCTAATAATGAACTTCAAATAAATGTTAAAGAAGGGCATAAATGACGATGACCACTATTTTTACACCTTGATTAATTTGTTTTTATGCAGATGTTAGCATTCTAAACAAATCTTACCAAAAGAGCATTTTTGTGAAGTTAACAATGCACTTGGATGAATAACCTACATAAGTGGTCCATTAGGACATAGAATAAAGGATGTTAACAAGATAATTATGTGACCACAAAAGAACATGGGCTACTCACATGGTTGGAGAAAAAGATAATTAATAGACAGTATTCTTGCTTCATTGGTAGCCATACATGTCAAGACAGCTAGGGAAAGAAAGCCCTCAGAATAGTCAATAAATCCCTTAGTTCTTATAAGTAATTTATAAGAAAACATGGGTGGAAAGATGGCTGAATAAGGCAGGAAATTACCTGGCTCTCCCAAATCCCTCCCCCCTACCAATAACTTAAAATAACTCCTCAAAGTGAATTTTAGAGTGGCAGAATAATTAAAAGTCAGGATGAAGCAGTCATACAGGGAGGATGTTAGGAAAGATTTGACCTTCTGAGGTGGTAGTCTGGCCAGAGCGAAGTACATAAACCAAATCAACAAACAGCAAGCCCTAGGGGCAGCCTTAACTTCCCCCCACGCACAGTATGGAGTTCTGGTGGCTGATGAGGGAAAGACTTAAGGGGCAGGAGGTGGGGCCTGTATTGGGGCTGGACACAGGGCTTAGGCATTGATGAGACCCAGAGATAAGCTGTGGCTGTGGGAGGATAAGCGAGCACATGCAGGTGAGTGTGGGGCAGAAAGGCAGGGCCCTGCTGGTTGTGCTCACTTTCAGGAGAACAGAGTCTCTGGTTTCAGTTCCAGGGCAGAGAGGTGAGCTAATACTTGCAGCCTGGAGAGACCACAGGAAGTAAGAGCTTTTACTGTGGCAGTGATACTGGGATTCCTAATCACATAGCTCAGGGGTGGAGAGGCATACCTGCAGTCACTCACAGACAAGGCATGAGCTGGAAGTGCAGTGAACACACATGGCCTTAAATCATAAAATACTAGAAGAACCAAAGTCAAAGACTCCCAGATAGAACTCAGAAACCTGAAACCAGAGATAATATGCTCCACATCCCAGGAGCACAGCCTGACCATAAGATAAAGTTAACAACCAAGAAATAGGTTATTAAAAAAAAATGAGTAAATAGGAGGAAAAAAACCTGAACATAGATAGCTACTATGATGACAGAGACAAACAGGGTTTGAATTCAGAAGAAGATAATGAGGTCAAATGAGCTATGTATAAAGAATCAAAGAAAAATGTAAAATGGTCACAAGCCCAAAAAGAGTTCTTGGAAGAGCTGAAAAGGACTTTGAAAATCAAATATGAAAGGCTGAGGGAAAACTGGGAAAAGAAATAATAGTAATGCAAGAAAATTATGGAAAGAAAGTAAACCAATTGGAAAAAGATGCAAAAACTTATGGAAGAAAATAACTCCTCAAAAATTAGAATTGGGAAAGGGGAAGCTAATAACTTCATCAGACATCAAGAAATAGTAAAACAAAATCAAAAGGATGAAAAAATAAAAAAAGAATATAAAATTTCTCATTAGAAAAATGAATGACCTGGAAAACAGATCAAGGAGAGATAATATAAGAATTGCTAGGCTATCTAAAAGTTATGATAAGAAAGAAAATCTGGACACCGTATTTCAATACATTATTAAAGAAAATTTCCCTAAAGTTCTAGAACTAGAGGTTAAAAGAGAAATTGAAAAAAAATCCACTGCTTGCCACCTAAAAGAGATCCCAAAATGAAAATTCACAGGAACATTATGACTAAGTTTCAAAGCTCCCAAGTCAAGGAGAAAATATTACAAGCAACTAGAAAGAAACAATTTAAATATTGTGGACCTACAATCAGGGTAACACAATATTTAGCAGTACCTACATTACAAGACTGAAAAGCATGGGATATGATAATCTGAAGACCAAAGGAGCTGGGTTTGCAACTAAGAATAACCTACCAAGTAAAGCTGAGTGTAAGCCTGCAAGGGGAAAAAAATGGATATTTAATGAATTAGAGAACTTTCAGGTATTCTTGAGGAAAAACCCAGAATTGAGGAGAAAATCTGACTTCCAAGTATCAGGAGAAACATAAGAAGGTAAACATGAAAGACTAATTATAAGAGATTTAATAAGGTTAAACCGTTTACTTCTTATATGGAAAAATATTTGTAACTCTTAAGAATATCGCCATTAAAAGGATAGTTTGAAAGAGTATATATAGATTGAAGGCTTGAGGTTGAGTTGATTATGATGAGATAAAAATAAAAGATAAAATTGGGTAGGAATAGGTAAAATGGAACAAATTATCTCATGCAAAAGAGGCATGAATGGAAGAATTGTTACAGTGGAGGGGAGGAAAGGGTGGAAGGGGAGTAGTGTAGGAACCTTATTCTCATTGGAACTGAGTTAAAGAAGGAATAACATACATATAATCGGGTATAAAAGTTTTCTTAAATTACAAAGAAACCAGACAGCAAGGGGATAGGATAAAGGAGGGACTCTTAGAAGGTGGTACAGATTAAGAAACAGTAGGGCAAGGGGATAAGATAAGGGAGGGACTCCTAGAAGGGTATGCAGACTAGGGAGGCAGTGGTCAGAAGTAAATTAGGTTTCTGAAACCATAGGGCAAAAAAAAGAGAAAAGGATAAACAGGGAGGAAAAATAGGATGGAGGGAAACACTGAAATAGTAATTTTAACTTTGAAGGTAAACGGAATGAACTTAACCATAAAACAGAAACAGATAGCTGAATGGATCAAAAATCAGGACACAGGGGCAGCTAGGTGGTGCAGTGAATAGGGTTCTGGCCTTGGAGTCAGGAGGACCTGAGTTCAGATCAGTCACTTGACACTTAATAGCTGTGTAACCCTGGGCAAGTCACTTAACCTTGGTTGCCTCACCAAAAAGCAAAAAAAAAAAAAAAATCACAACGCAATGATATGTTGTTTACAAGAAACACATTTAAAAATGAGAGACACAGAGTAAAAATAAAGGGCTGGAGTAGAATTTATTATGCTTCAGCTGACATAAAAAACAGGGGCAGCAATCATGATCTCAAAGTTAAAAGTTCAAATAGATTTAATTAAAAGAGATAAACTAGGAAACTACATTATATTAAACCATAGATAATGAAATAATATCAATACTAAATATATATATATAAATATATATACACTAAATGCTGTAGCATCCATATTTTTAAAGGAAAAGCTAAATGAACTATGGGTGGAAATAGACAGCAAAACTATAATAGTGGGAGACTTCCACTTTCCCCTAGCAGAGCTAGATAAGTCTGACCAAAAAATAAATAAGAAAAAAGTCAAGGAGATGAAAAGAATCTCACATGCACTAGATATGATAGAAATCTGGAGAGAACTGAATGGGAACAGAAGGAAATATACCTTTTTATCAGCAGTACATGACACCTTTACAAAAACTGATCATCTATTAGGACATACAAATTTTATAGTTAAATGTAGAAATGCAGAAACATTAAATGGATCCTTTTCAGATCATAATTCAATAAATATTATATTTAATAAAGGACCATGGAAAGAAAGATTAAAAATTAATTAGAGACTAAATAACCTAATCTTATAGAATAAGGGGGTTAAAGAACAAGTTACAGAAAAAAATCAAAAATTTCATTAATGAGAATGATAATAATGAGACAATATACCAAAACTTAATGAGATGCAACAACAGCAGTAATCAGAGGAAAATTTATACCTCTAAATGCTTACTTACATCAATAAAATAGAGAAAATGTATCAATGAATTGGGTATACAATTAAAACAACTAGAAAAAGAAGAAATTTTTAAATCCCCAACTAAACACCAAATTGGAAATCTTAAAAACTAAAGGTGAGATTAATAAAATTGAATGTAAGAAAATGATTGAATTAATAAATAAAATTAGATGTGGGTTTTCTGAAAACCATTGGTTAATGATTTAAAAAGAGAGAAGAAAACCAAATCATTATTATCAAAAATGAAAAGGGTAAATAAACTACTAACGAAGAGGAAATTAAAGCAATTGTTAGAAGCCATTTTGCCTAATTATATGCCAATATATTTACCAACTTAAGTGAAATGGAAGAATATATACAAAAATATCAACTGACCAGTTTAACAGAAGAGAAAATAAAATATCTAAATAAACCTATTTTAGAAAAAGAAATTGAATATGCCACAAATGAGCTTCCTAAGAAAAAAGCATCAAGACCAGATGGCTTTACAAGTGAATTCTATGAAATATTTAAAGATAAACTAATTCCAATATTAAATAAATTATTTGAAATAATAGGCAAAGAAGGAGTCCTGCCAAACTCTTTTTATGAAACAAATGTGGTGTTGATACCTAAACCAGGAAGAACAAAAGCAGAGAAAGAAAATTACAGACCAATTTCCCTAATGAATAGTAATGCAGAAATCCTAAATAAAATACTAGCCAAGAGACTATAACAATATATCACTAAGATTATACATTGTGACCAAGTGGGATTTATACCAGGAATGCAGGGATGATTTTTAACATGAGGAAAACTATTAACATAATTGATTATATCAATAACAAAGTAACAAAAATCATAAATTATATCAATAGATGTAGAAAAAGCTTCTGACAAAATACCACACTCAAGTGTTAAAAATACTTGAAAGTATCAGAATAAATTAATTTTTCCTTAAAATGTTAAGAAGTATCTACCCAAAACCATCACCAAGCATTATCTGTAATAGGGATAAGCTAGAAGCCTTCCCAATAAGATAAGGAGTGAAACAAGGAGGTTCATTATCACTGATATTATTCAATATTGTACTAGAAATATTAGCAATAGCAATAATAAAAAGAAATGGTAGGAATCAGAACTATTTCTTTTTGCAGATGATATGATGGTATACTTGAAAATTCCTAAAAATTCACCTAAAAAGTTAATTTAAACAATTTTAGCAAAGCAGCAGGATATGGAATAAATCCACATAAATCATCAGCATTTCTATTTATGACCCAACAAAGCCCTGAAAGAAAACATGATGAAAGATACCCCATTTGAAATAACTGTACATAGTAGAAAATACCTGGAAGTGTACGTGCCAAGACAAACCCAGGAACTAGAAAATACTTTACATACAAATGATCACATTTAAATAATTGAAAAACTAGTCATTGTTCATGGGTGGGCAAAACCAATATAATAAAAATGACAATTCTACCTAAACTACTTATTCAATGCCATCCCAATTAAATTGCCATTACTGTGACTGATGAACACATAACATGGACACAGTAACCAGTACATGGCCAGTCCATAATCTTGTTTTTGGGCATTTACCCATCAACATTGGCTTAATGCCTAAGCTTGAAAATCAGCTCATCACTAAGCAGAAACCCCCAATCATTAGCAATATGTTTTATAGCTCCACTTCCCTTCGTTTGATTTCAGTAATTACCACTGGGTTTTCCTGGCGTCTTTGCAGGGATCCAACCTGTAGTCTGGCCACTGCCCCAGACTGATGATTATCAAACTCTTGGCATGGATCCATCATACTGCCCCATTGTAAGTATCCAATAGATTAAACTAGTACCTATAATCAATCTGGAGCTCTTTGGTCACTTCCTTTGGTATCAGACTTGGCCCACTGTTTGGGAGGGAGATACTGAGTTCCCTAGGCGGGGGAATTCCAGACCCTACAGGCACTAATGTTAGACATGCAACGAAAGAAACAATTCCTTCTAATGAGAGGGTTGTATATACAGACTAAACATAAAAAGAAGAAATGCAAAATAGTTTGAGAAAGGACACTAGCAATTGAGAGGATCCAGAAAACATCAATGTAGAAGGTGGTGCTACAGTGGCATCTTGAAGGAAGATGACTCTGAGACAAAAGTGAGGAGGAAGTACATTGATGTATTGAGGATGGCCAATTCAAAAGCCATAATGAATACAGAATATTGTCCATGAAGAACAGAGAAAAGCCAGCTTGACTGGAAGAATTCAAAGGTACAGAGACAAGAAATGGAGTGTGATACGTGAGGGACAGAGAGAAGGCCAGTCTGGCTGGACTGTAGAGCGCAAGAAGTTGAGCAATGTTAAATAAGTTTGGAAACAGAAGGTGAGGCAGGTTTGTATAGGACTTAAAAGCTACACAGAGAAGTTCATATTTGATTTTAGGAAGCTACTGGAGTAGTTATCAAGTCAGAGAGTGACATGGTTAGATTTTCACTAAGGAAAATCACTTTGGCAGCAACATGGCAACAGACTGGAGTGGGGAGAGGAGGTTTCATTAGTCTAGCCAAGATGTAATGCAGACCTGAACTAAAGTGGTAGCTGTGTGAGTAGAGAGAAGAGGTAGAATGAAAGAAATGTTATCAAGGAAGAAATAACAGACTTCGGCAATTGGCAACAACAGAACTGGCAATAACAGAATTTGGCTATATATATATGGCATGAGCGGGAGAGAGGAGTTAAGGATAACATCGAAGTTACAAACCTAGGAGTCTATAAAAAAAAATAGAGCTATCAGACAGAAATAAGGAAATTTGGAAGTGAGGAGTTGGGGGGGTTAGGGTGGGAGGTGAGATTAGTTCAGTTGTCAATTAACAGAATCACAGGTTTAAACCTGAGACCTACTATGTGCAAAACACACTGCTAGCTGTTAGTATATTGATTATGCTGGGGAGAGACTAGATATGAGGATACCAGTCAGATGTCTGTACTTGTCAGGGAAAAGCCAACAAAGGCCTAAGCTAAGGTGGTAGCCATAGAAAGCAAGTCATGATCAATCACCAGCATATTATATTGAGTTATTTTCTAGAAGTAATAATGAGCTTTTGTGTAAGTTATCCATACACTCTTAGCTGGTTCTCCCCTTTTAACAAGGATGCATTTTGAAGATGTCTGGTCTAAGTTAGGATTGTAGTTTGCAGCCACAGAACACTGTATAGAAAAACTAACAGGGGGCAGTTAGGTGGTGCAGTGGATAGAGCACTGGCCCTGGATTCAGGAGGACCTGAGTTCAAATCCGGCCTCAGACACATAACACTTACTAGCTGTGTGACCCTGGACAAGTCACTTAACCCCACTGCCTAGCCCCCCCCAAAAAACAAAACAAAACAAAACAAAAAAAACTAACAGACTTTAATGACTTGAATTCACTAGCACCATGTCACATTAGCACTATGTCATACGTTGTTTGTTACCTAAAGAGTCATATCACTGGTACCCTGGTAGTTTTATTTTAAGAAATTTGAAGTAGACAAAAGCAGCTCACTACAGAAAAATTGAATTACATCCTTCCTTATCATGGCAAAAAACTGTTTAAGTCACACTATGATGAAAATCATTTATGCCTTCCAGAAATTTTGAGGAAAAGCCTTTCTTTAATTGCTCTGTTTAAACATTTTAACTCCTTCTTCTTGGAAAACATAAAAAGTCTTTGCTATTTCACTAAAGTTGTTAAAGAACCTTGACAAAACTAAAAAACAGAGGGAAAAAAATTTTAAAACTATTTATACATGTATATGTATACATATAACTTATACATATGTACGCATATGTATACATACATTGCATGTAAATCACACGTGTAAAAATAAGCAACTAAAAATTTAAAAATAAATAAATAAACAACTCATTGGAAGTTGCTCACCTTGCCCTGCTCAATACAAAAGAGTCTTTTACCATCACCACTGGGCCCAACTCTGGACATTCTGAATCATGGTACTGACCACAGTCTTCACACCCTGTAAATAGATAAACAGATCTCTTCAAAGGCAGCATTCATGGTTAACTATAATTCAATCAGACTGCTAGAAAAGCTTAATTAATGCTGTAACAAACTTGTAAAAAGTAGATGCAAAACACACTGCTAGCTGCTGACTGAGGTTACCATGAATGTGAATGAATATTGAGATCACCAAAACAAACAAAACACATGACTCATTTGATTAAGTAAGCCATGTCTTAATATTTCACTCCATAAATACATAATGTACTCTAAGGAAATGTCTACAAATTATTTGTAGTCATTTCTTTGAAAGTAAGAGCAAATTTATTCCAAAGAGGGGAAAGAAAACACACAAAACCCCTGGTTTTTTGATTCTTTAGTTACAAATGTAAAATATTTTTCATGTTTCTGGTGTCAGATCATTTTTCTTAATCAGTGTCTAAAACCTGCAAAGTTATGTTTGCAGGAAGGTTGTAAAAAGTCTGTTATACTAAGACTATTTATACAGTCTTCCCCATTTAGCAAGTGAGACTATTTAAAGCTATTATGAGTTTCCCATAGCTTTCCCCACCCCCTAAAAAAACTACCTGGATTTTCAGAAAATATTTTTCTACATTAAAAGAAATCTAATTTTACATGAACAATAAAGTTCACTTCAATATTCTTTTTTTAAAATAATTTTTTCCAATTGCATACAAAAACAATCTTTAACATTCTTTTTAAAATTTTGAATTCCAAATTCTCTCTCTCTTCTTCCCTTCCCCCCTCCTTGAGAAGGCAAGCAGTTTGACATAGGTTATATAAGTGCAGTCATACAAAACATACTTCCATATAAGTCACATTGTGGAAGAAAATACTGACTAAAAAAAAGCCGACAAGAAAAATAAAATTAAGTTTAAAAAAAAAAGTAGGTTTTGATCTGAATTCAGACTCTATCGGTTTTTCCTCTGGAGGTAGATAGCATTTTTTCATCATAAGTCCTTCAGAAATGTCTTGGATCATTGTATTGCTAAGAATAGCTAAGTCATTCGCAATTGATCATTGTACAATATTGCTGTTACTAGCGCACAATGTTCCCCCGGTTCAGCTCACTTCACTTTGTATCAGTTCATATAAGCCTTCCCAGGTTTTTCTGAAAGCATCTTACTTGTCATTTCTTATAGCACAGTAATATTCCATTATAATCATATACCACAACTTGTTCAGCCATTCCCCAATGGATGGGCATCCCCTCGATTTCCAATTCCTTGCCACTACAAAAAATGATGCTACAAATATTTTTGTTCATATAGGTTCTTTTCCTTTAAAAAAAAAAGTTCTTTGTGATACAGATCTACTAGTGCTATTGCTGGGTCAAAGGGTATGTATACTGTTTTATAGCCCTTTGGACATAGTTTAAAATTGCTCTCCAGAATGGTTAGATCAGTCCACAACTCCACCAAGAGTGCATTAGTGTTTCCATTTTCCCATAATCTCTCCAACACTTGTCATTTTCCTTTTCTATCATATTAGTCAATATGATAGGTGTGAGGTGGTACCTCAAAGGTGTTTTAATTTGCATTTCTTTACTCAATAGTAATTTAAACCATTTTTTCATGACCATAGATAGCTTTGATTTCTTCATCTGAAAATTGCCTGTTCATATCCTTTGACCATTTATCAACTGGGGAATGACTTGTATTCTTATAAATTTGACTCAGTTCTCTATATATTTGAGTAATTTCCATATTCTTTTATGTGATATACTCACAAATAAACATAGTTTCATCACTGCCATCTTCAGCCATTTCTGAAACCTGTCAAAACAAAAAGGAAGGAATCAGTTAATACTAATGAAAATGGCATTCGGAGGGGCAGCTAGGTGGCACAGTAGATAGAGCGCCAGCCTTGGAGTCAGGGGGAATCTGAGTTCAAATCCAGCCTCAGACACATAACATTTGCTAGCTGTGTGACTCTGGGCAAGTCACTTAACCCCAATTGCCTCACCAAAAAAAAAGAAAAAAAAGAAAATGGCATTTGGAAAGGATCTTTGGGGAGCCAGTGCAAATTAGAGTGCTTTAAGATTTGGAAAGCACATTTAGGGGAAAAATAGAAACCCTAATTGTTTTGCAACATTTTGATGGGCTAACAATATAGGTAACCCAACCATCTGGTGGCCTAATAATAATTCACAACTGCTACTGAAGAAGAAACAGAATAAACTATGCAAAGACAGTAAAAAGAGGAAGGTCTGATCTACTGCTGTTCACAAATATTTGTTTTCCTTGGATAAGTGATACCTGCAGTCTGGTCTAAATGGTTACCTCGACCCTACAGTTTCATCTAAAGGGACTTCTCTCACAATTGTAAAAAAAGTATTGGTCATCAGTTCTTGTTTCCTGCCCTTAAACAGGAAATGTCTTCTCATTCTGATAATAAACCCTATCAGTGGCATGGTAAATGTTTCTCTAGAAGGTGCCCCCTTTTCTCCCTTGAAAGATTTCCCTTTTTTCTACCCATGCCTCTGCTGTGAAAGGTGTCATTTATCTATCCTAAATTGCCAGAAAATGCTGTTGATTGTTTACTTAAAGTGGATGTGAAAAGTTATAAAAACTAAATCTGTACTCTAAGATGTCAAAGCAGCTTTCAGCAGTTGTCTTAGCATGCTAATATTTTTCTTTGCTTTTAGTTTGGCCTCCTCTCTGACCTACAGTCATTCATTGGACCTCATCTTGGTACAGAAAATTCTCCAACATACTTTACAAATACTACTTTCACAACAACCCTGGAAGGCAGGTGCTATGATTACCTGCATTTTATAGATGAGGCAGGCAGAAGCTGAATGCTAAGTCAAGACTCAAACTTAAACCTTCCTGTCTCCACGTCCAGGGCTAATATCATATTAGATTTTGTCAACATTCAACTTCTTTCCAAATAAACAAGGTTTTTAGATATCACATTTTTAAAAATTTATTCATTTATCTATTTTGTTTGTTGTTCAGTCATGTTCAACTTTTCGTGACCTCATTCGGGATTTTCTTGGCAAAGGTGCTGGAATGATTTGCCATTTCCTTCTCTAGCTCATTTTACAGATGAGGAAACTGAGGCCAACAGGGTTAAGTGACTTGCCTGGGATCACAGAACTAGTAAGTGTCTGAAGCCAGATTTGAACTCAGTCTTTCTGATTCTAGGTCTGATACTCTATCCACTGCACCACCTAGTTGCCCCTATTTATTTTATAGGAATTTATTTTTTCTATCTCTGCCCGCATGAACTGAACAATTAAAAAAATTTTTAACAAATATGGACAGTCCACCAAAAAAAAAATTCCATATTGTCTAAAAATGTATGGCTTCAATCATTCCTGGAAATGTGACGAGATTTTTTTTTTAATCACAATTTTCAGATCAAAGAATTCCTAAATACCTCTTCTTGACCATTTTTCCACTTTGGTCATTTTTTATATTATGCTCTTTCATTTTCTTGTTTTTTCAATCTTCTGATTTTAAGATTTCTTGCTGTCTCAGTGAGACATTTCCTGTTTTGCCTATTTAAATTTTCAGAGCATTTAGTACTTGGGTGAGGTTTTTTACCATCTGCTCCCAGATCTCAATTCTCCTTGCCATTCTCTCCTCCCTAGCTTTGCATTGTTTCTTTTCTTTCATTTCTTCCAAGTACTCTTATAATCCTTATGACCAGGGCATTTTTTTTCCTTCCTGAATCTTGTAAGTGAGCACTTAGACTTGTGGGGGTTGTTCTCTTCCTCAGGGTTTACCCCTAGACTGCATGCAGTCCAAGGTATTTCCTCATAGTAGTAGGTATTTTCTTTGGCTTGCTCAAAACTGGGGGGCTTGTGTCTAGATCAATTCTGCTCCTTTAGTCCTGAATGGTACTGACAGGCCCTACCTGGACCTGAATGTAGTGGACAAACTTTGGTCCCTTCTTCCGCAGGAATTGTTTGGCCTTGTTTCTTTGCTGTGGTTCAGACCTAGATTGCCTGGATATAGACTTGGACTTAGATGCTCCATTTCTACTGTAGCCAGGGCACTGGGAGGAACTGAGGCTGCGGCTTTTTTCTCCAGTTGCTCCAAGGACTCCCCAAGGTCACCCTCATAATGAGTTCAGCCCAGGTCCTTTGCAGGGCTCTTCTCCCCCTTTCTCTTGCTGCAGAGCTCAACTGTTTCTATAGTGCTCTAGGGGTAGGCTACAACTGAGCTGTGCTCTGCCTAGGGCTCCTTGATGAGGTCTTATCAAGGGGCTACACTCATGGGCTGGGCTCTGCCTAGGAGGGTCTCATTCTTGTTACATAGCCCATCCTGCATTATGTTCTATCTGGGGTTCTTCTCCCATCCCATTGGTGCTGGGCTCAGAGGCTACTTTAGTCCTGAGCTTGGCCTAGGACCTCCCTCTTGTCACAAACTCCAGGGCAGTCCCCATGAGTTAGACTCTGCTTGGGGCCCTTACCTTCGTGCTATTGGGGTCTAGGAATGCTCTCGAACTGGGCTCCCAGTATGAGATCACCTCAAGCCTTGGGGCCCTTGACCCAAGGCTTGCCCTATATCTATCCTGTACTGGACTCTTTTTGGAGCCCACCTCTAGTTGCCCCACAGTTGTTTTGCTCTACAAAACTACCCTAACTTATCTACTTCAAAGTGTCTCCAGGATCCTAGTGTTCCTTCTGTGTAGGACTGGGCTAAGTAATGTAGTTTACACTATTCTTTTTTAACTGCTGCATTTTTAATCTTTACCGAGGTATTTGCAGGAGATCTGGGCTACTGTAGTTCCCAACATGCCACCATCTTCCTACAATTCCCCCATTTTATCTCTTTACATCCTTGAGATCATATCATTATTAATGTTTAATAAAATAATTAATTTGAATTTTAAAAATAATTTTAAATTTAAATTTTATATTTCATAATAATATATATAATATAAAAAATAAAATTTAAAAATACTATAAACTTTAAGTAGAAAGTGTTCTTAATCTATAAAAACATAATATATTTTACCATAATCCAATTGCAGCACAGTATGGTAAAAAGATCTATAGTCAAAGAATATGGATTCAGATTTTGGATTTGCTACTTAGTAGGTAAGTGGCCGAGTCACTTTACTTCTCTAGGTCTCTGTTTCCTCATTTGTAAAATAAAGGGTTTAGTCCAGAAAATGGGTTTATGACCTTTTTTGTGTCATGGTTCTCCCCCCTGCCCTCCAATAGTCTATGGATTCAAGTAATGGACTCCTTCCAAGAATAACTTTTTTCTTTTTTTTGCTAGGCAATGGGGTTAAGTGACTTGCCCAGGGTCACACAGCTAGTAAGTGTCAAGTATCTGAGGCTAGATTTGATCTCAGGTCCTCCTGACTCCAAGCGTCACCTAGATGCCCCAAGAATAATGTTTTTAAATGAATAAAATAGAAAGGATGACAAAGGAAACAAATTATATTGAAGCAAAGATAGAATTTTATTTTTCTATCCCATATCTAAGGACCTTTCCAGCTCTAAATGTTATCATGATGACCCACATCAATCACCATTTATAAAGTAATCACCATAAAAATTATTCAAATGGGAAAATGTATCTGCAATTCCATTAATTTGGATGTTCCCTGTACAACATAGATCATAAGCAATCAATGCCTGTTCAACCCCAAGAAGATAGAGGCTTTCCTTGCTTTCTCCTGACATCTTCAGTGTACAGGTTGAGCACTCACCCTCATCACTTGTTCCCACATCATGATTATCTTGTCTTTTTTGATCATACATTTCCCTGACGACATCCTTTATTCCAATTCTTCTGTAAAGTTTCATTAAAATAAATAGGAAAGTAGAGAACAGTCAAAATGGTAGAGGAGGAAGTAGCCAGAGCTCCTAGACAGCCATTCCACAAAGATCTAGAAAAAGCAACTGATAGAGATGAAAATCCAAGAAAAAAAATCAGTCATTTTTCTAAACTAAGTGTGCATAAGGAAACAGAAAGTTCTGTGGACACCAGGGAAAGCACGACAAGCCCTGCAGCACAAGAACTGAACAAGGACTTGCTAGTGGCTGTTAATAGAGCAAGAAAAGGTCCCAGATAAAGCCCCAGAGGGGCCTGAGCTTGTGGGCACAAGATTCCAACTACCCGTTCTGTTGTTCATACCCCAGAACTGTATCATAGACTTAGAAAAGATTAAGGTAGTACGGGACCTATGCATGAAGATAAAGTCAACAGCAAAGAAAGGGTGCAGGTGAGTGAGAAACACGTACAGAAACAGGAAAAAGCAATGGGAATTAACCAGGAGCAGAAAGGGGTATCTTGGATCTGGACCCTGTCAATTCTGAAGCCTGCAGTGAAATAAACAGGGCAGGAAGCCAAGATCAAAGAAGTGTCTGCAGTTCTGTCGCTCTGAACCTGCAGATGGCTTACGGTGACTGAGTTTTAGTCTACTGGAACTCCAAATCAGGGGTAAGCCTACAATTGTATTGTTCAGAATCAACCTCAGGTCAAGAACTTGCAGAGCTCACGCCAGGAAGACTTTGGGATCAAATGATTGATGCTCCTGAGATCCTTGAATAACCCAACTTTCAAAACACTGAAAAAGTGTTTTGACCAGATGAGGTCATTACGGCTGAAGCACTATATTTAATGGAGGTCCATATGAGGGATAACGAGAGGGAAATCAACCCTAAGAAAATCCATGGTCCAGTCTGCTCAGTCAAGTTTGAGAACATACAGGGCTTGAGGAAAACCCAGAGGATTCAGAGAACAGTCCCAAATAAACTGAATGACTCCTGATCAATGCATCCCCATAATCTAGAAGGAAGCCCAGAGTT